TTGGGGCAGGGTGATAGCTGTGATGACGACATTAGTGACATGGTGGTTGGTAGGGCGTGGGTGGGGCGATATGTGGGATGGTCCAAACAAATACGATTGTTCCAATTCTATTGAGAGATTTCATTCCAATCCCTACCAACCAAATGCATGGTCAAATTCCATCAAATTCCATTCCAATTCCTTCAAAGTCAAATTCCTTTGATGGATTCCAATTCCATCAAATTCCATTATGTGAACCAAACACCCCCTAAGAGTATTTTCTTGTTTTTCATCGTTGACAACCTGCTTTTATAAGATGAAGAGAGGGCTCGACAAAAAGAACCCAATGGTCTCATAAAAACAATTTGAGATAAAATTCAGATTGATTTTATTTCGTTTTCCCTAGCTTACATTTAGAGGACGAAATCACAGTTAGCTTCTAAATAACAGGCAATCACTTAATCCCATAACTCTTAAACTTCGTCCTAGGTAGCTAGCTATTTTATCCTAGCAATATGAGAGCAATAATAAATAGTATAACGTATGTATAGAAGGGTATCCTCAAGAGTCAAAGACTTGATACATCCACTAATTCTCTTTCTTATTTTCCCTCCTGCGATGAACCTTTTCTTTAAATATTTTGTGCACATTGTCGGTGGTCATATCAATATGACTCATTTGAAGTCCTGAAAATTCGTAGAGAGGGGAAGTGCCAAAGTGGGGAGTTTTATGTTGTTATAAAAGATTACAGAGATAAGATGGATATATCGTAATTTTTATTCTATTCCTTGATGAAGTAAATTCAATCACTCTGTCCCTTGCAATCAAAGACAAACTACTTGAAGGAATCATATTCCTTGAATAATACGAAATAAGAATCTTTTTAGTTCCATTTTATTAATGAATTCCATTCCCACTGACTCAAAGCAACATAAGGTTTTCGTTTGACTACAAATAGGTTTGTTAGGCTTCTGCATGGAGATTGAGTTGAAGGTGGATGGTATGTTGCAATGAATGATATGAGGAAATAGAAATGTTTCTGCTTGTTGAGGATAGAGGGCATGGGAGACGATGCCTAAGAGTGTGCTACCAATGGCAATGTTGGTGTAGAGATTAGGAGAGGGAGAGGGAGAGGGAGAGGGAGAGGGAAGAATTGAAGTTCAAAAGGAAATGATATTTATGTCTTTGTTAAACTGTTTTCTATTATTTATTTAGTATTGGATAGAAAATTGGTTAAGCGAAAATCGTTGTTTCCGAGTATTGCAATTATTTTAAGATTAGGGGTGTCATGAGTATTGCAATTATTTCAAGTCTATGTGAACTTTTGAGTTCATATCTGAGATACTTGTTCTCTTTAATGCACATATAATAGCATTTTATGTGTTTATTCTAGAAGGAATGTCAACAGACGTAATAAAATATCTAGAGCTGAGAATATTAAGTGGCGCCATTTGAGTACTGCTAGGACAATTGCCATCAACTCCTTTTCATAGATCGACTTCAGACGGTTCCAGGCACCTAACACTTGACTGAAATAGGCCAAAAGGTGAGCATTTTGCAAAAGTACAACTCCTATTCCATAGCCTGATGCATCAGCCTGTATGACTAACACTTGGAAAAAACCTGGCATAGCCAAGATCGGAGCCATAGTCAAAGCTGATTTCAGTTGATGGAATGCCTCGGTGGCTGCTGGTGTCCGCCCAAAGTTATCTTCTTTTAGCTGCTCGATTAGGGGCCAGCTAGACGAGCAAACCCGGAAATAAACCGACGGTAATACCCGGCCAACTCTAAAAACCCACGTAATTCTCGCAAATTCTTTGGCAGGGGCCATGCAACAATAGATTTGATCTTTTCTTGGTCCATGGCTGGCTTCTGAAATTTTGTGTCCCTAATAAGACAACTCTGTCTTACCAATCTCACATTTACTTGGGATGGCAAAGAACTGATGTGGTTGGGAAAGCTGTCATTACCATCACCAAATGTTCAACATGTTTCTCCTCACTCCGACTATAAACTAAAATATCATAAAAAATTACGAGCACGAATTTCCGTAAGTAAGGCCAAAATATATCGTTCATTATCGATTGGAATGTGGCAGGCGCATTGGTTAAGCCGAGGGCATTACTAAAAATTCATAGTGACCTTCATGGGTATGGAATGCAGTTTTGGCCACATCATCTTCCTTGACCTGAATCTGATGGTACCCAGATTTGAGGGCAAGCTTCGAAAATACTCAGGGAACTGTGGAACTCATCCAGCAACTCCTCAATAATAGGGAGTGGATATGTATAGGAACGGTGACCTTGTTTAAAGCCCGATAATCCACGCAGAACCGCCATGACCCATCCTTCTTCTTGACAAGGAGGACAGCGCTGAAAAAAGGGCTATTTGAGGGCTGTATAATCTCAGCTCCCAACATATCTTGCATCAATCGTTCAATCTCAGCTTTCTGTGCTTGAGGGTACTGGTAAGGACGCACCAAAACAGGTCCAGCCCCCTCCTTCAACTTGATAGCATTCTCTACATTCCGTCTTGGGGGAATTACATTTGGCCATTCAAAAATGTGCAGATGGTTTCTGACTACCTCCTGCAAAAACGACGGTGCAATCGGAAATGTAGGTGGGGATGGGGTCCGTTCCATTTGATTCAATTGTAGAAGGTAACCACCCCCTTCTTGGGCTAGAGTCGTATCATGTTTTTCAAAGATGCTCAGGTCTGGTCCAATGATGGGTCTCCCTGTTGCGTAACTAACGTAACTGATACACCATTGATCTGAAACTTCATAGTCAAAGTCTTCCAGTTAGTCGTGACCGTCCCCAATTTTTCTTACCATTTGTACTCTGAGAATCACATCGGCATTTCCCAGCATTAGTGGTAAAAATTCGTCGTCAATTTCCAATCACTGAATCTGTAACCGTATTCTTTGACATTCACACTGATCTTTCACCGCCTGCCTGGTTCCTAGAGACACCAAAATCACCGGTGTTAGTCATGGGAATTTTCAATTGTTGAATTACGGCTAGCGGGACAAAGTTATGTGTTGCCCCTGGATCAATCATAAATATAACCTCCGAATCTGCTAGAAATCCTTTCAATTTCAAGGTCTTCGGATTACTGAGGACAGGATTAAGACAAGTCTCAGATTGTGGGTTCTTACTTGGTTCCTCGATTGGAAACTCATCACCTTCGGCCTGTTCGTCATCTTCCTGATTCAACATAACAGTAAGCTCTTGTCGGTGACAACGGTGGCTCATGTTCCACTTCTCATCACATCAGAAGCATAAGCCCTTCTCCAGCTTGGTCTGTAATCCCTTGTCGGAGAGGCCTCTCACTTCCCCGACTGGTTTGCTCGTCGTATTGGATCCTCCCAAAACCATCGGAGCAGAATTTGCCGTACGTGGAGTTGGGCGTTGGCTTCGTCGCAGACAAAACTGGAATCGATCGAAATGGTGAAGTACCGGTGCCAAGTTGGCCTCCCAATTTGACGCCACACTAGATCAGCACTCATTACATTTACGTAAATTGGTCCTGAATTTTTCTTCCAATTCACTTGCAAGGTCCATGGCATGTTCAAGGTTACGAGGCCCAAGGACCCTGACCTCAACATGTAAGACGCTTTGAGCCCATTGGTGAACTGGCCCAAAGCAATCTCATCGGAAATATTAGATAAGGGAGCCGCTAACTCGATAAAATTTCTCTGGTACTCGAGAAGGAACCAACCTGTGTGACCGTCGACCGTTGTTCGTGAAGGGATCCTGCATTCGTTGGTCGAAATTGTCGGAGGAGCAATGATTTCATCTCTTCCCATCGGATAATCGGCCTTCGTCGATGTTCCCATTGGTACCAGAAAAGGCATCTCCTAACGCCACCACTGAATGCTTCCAACTTTTCAGATTCGTTCAATTTGTACAACGTGAAATACCGTTCAGTCCTCGTAATCCAACCATCTGGATTATTACCATCAAATAACGGCATATCCAACTTGCGGAATTGCCAATTAGATCCCCCTCTCAGGTTTATTGCCGATTCAGAACCTGGTTGCCAGGACTCCCCGTTGGTGGAGGTCCGCCCTGGTTGATTGAATTCTCAGCGGCCAACTCAGTGAATCGTTGAGTGAAAAGAGCCATCTGCTCCTCCTCTACGCTGAGTGTTGCAGCGTCTGTTGAAACTCACTAAGAGCAATCCTCACTGATGCAACCTTCTCCTCTACCGAATCAACTTTCTGGGCTACAGGATCTATTGGTGGGGGCACCATGGTCTAACAGGACGAATATACCAATTTGTTATGAACCAGTGAGACGGAAACAAAGAAACAATTGAATTATAGGGTAAAAAGGAGCTGAAAGCTTTGATTAACAGGATAAGAAATCAGAGAGATAGCTAGCCATTCGAGACGCTAGAGATCTCCCAATTTGAAAAACCAATTTCTGCATATGCCACTACAGATCCACTACAAACACGCATCCTTATTACCCAACAAGGAATTACCAAAAAGCCCTCAGCTAACAGACACAACTAACAGACTCTCAACAAGGTGATGCACTATTTTGAGCTTTAGTGGTCCCTGCCTTATCACGACCCTTCCTCCTATATGCAAAACGTATAAGTGGGTATATGCAAAAACGTATAAGTGGGTTCATGATATATAAGTGTCGTATTAGTTATTTTATATAACATTATTTGAAAAAGTGTTATACGAACAAGTGTCCTATAAATAGATGAGTGTGTATGACACTACTCAAAATTGTTCTATACAATAGCTAATGTAACACTTTATTTAAAAGGCGTTCTTAGAAAACTTGCTAAACACCCAAAAGCATTCTATAAACCTATTATAATACTTTTAGATAGGACGCTCTATGGTTGGTCCTATAAACTTTAGTCCTATAAAGTATTTGATTCGTCAAATTTACCTAACTACTAACCCGCCAACACAACCCAACCCAACCCGATCAACCTCAACCCGCAATGGTTAGGTTGGGTTGAGATTTTTTCAAACCACTATAATTGAGTTGGGTTGTGTAAATGCGCCATAAACCGTCCAACCCAACTTGCGTACACCACCCCTATTGATCACCCATCTCTCTTTTTAACAACTGCAGGTTGGTTGGTGTTTTTCTGGAGTTAATGTAATGACACGACGTCCCTTAATGTTTCTAAAACTTGAATTTGCATCTGTAGCATGTAATTCAATAGCAGGCAAGTTATATTTATGACTGAGGAGGTCCTCTTTAAATTAATTAGACTCCTAACAGTTGATAATTTGACTAACCTTGTTGCCCTGTCAGGGAATTCTGCATGATCAACATATCTCATTAAAGTTGAAAGGTCACTTTATAGGATGTTGAGTGACTAGTACGTAAGGGGGGTGTGTGTAGTCAAAAAGCGAATGTCGGTGACGGTTATGTGGCCATGAACTGAAGGATAAGATTAGAAATAACGCTATAATTCTATTTGGTGTTATTAAGATTCCATAGTATTCTGTAATATGTTATACCAAATCGGTTAAACTGAATTCTGTAACATGGGTTTCAGGAAGCTTTGGTAATTCAAGATGTGGGAGAACATATAATAACTTTGCTTTGAATTCTTTCTATGCAGTAGCACAATGTGACTTTGTCAATGCTCATAACCCGTACTTTGTGTTTTTTTGTTGCTTCCATTCCATTGTACCTTTTCTGTAAAATGCATTACATAACTAGCTTAACTTGTACTGTATAAGCTAAGCTAGTTCGATTTGATTTGATTTTGTTTTGTTTTCATCGAGAACCCTTTTTGAGCTGAATCCAGCCCTTCAACTTTGGTTTGGTTTGGTTTGGGTGTAAACTATAATGAATTAATGACTGAAATAATTATAGAATATGGGACGATAATGATTGGTTTGAGGAGGGTTTGTAACAGCATTCACATTTCTGTGTTGCTTTTTAAGTCAAAACTATATCAATCTTTCCGACTTCCACATATTCTTCTTATTCACCTTCTCAAATCAATTACTTTTTTGCATTTACTCCTCTAAACCTTGAAGACAAGACGATGCAAACTAGTTGGTGTTAAAAATTATAAAATAACTAAAAAGACATCTTCAAAAATTAGTTGATTATTACATTTTATAATATAACTAAAATAAATCACTAATAATATGATAGGTTAATTAATAAGAACAAGACGGTAAAGAAAAATTAAATAATATAATCTTGTAATTAAAAGAGTTTCAAATTGATTATATATGTATATGTATATGGGGTCCATTCAAGGAATAATTAATTAGTTTGTGATAACTGTGAGATTCAATTTTAATCACAAATCAATAGATAAATTAAGAAACTAATTTTTTGGTAATTTCACTTAAAATTTTAATTTAAAGGGCATTTTAGGTTCTTAATTTTTTTCTCTCTCATTTGTCTCTCTTTTCTACTTCTGGCCTCCGGTAAACCTTATTTCGACAAACACCATGTGATACCCATAATATACAAAGATACACGATGTGATACCTAAAATACATATAATGTAATATTCAAAACACACAAATTAAACTTCAAAACCACTATGATGCCAACTGTGATACCGTTGTGATACCAACGATACTACCATTATGATACTTACGTTGTGTGTGTGTATATATATATATGTTGGGGGGGGGGGGAGTCATTCAAGAGAGAACTAGATGCTACTGTGATATATACCATGAGCAATGTGAAACCCAAAATAAAGTAATTAATCTAATTAAAGTGAATTGAATAATCAACCCAAATTACTAATTTACCCTTTTATGTTATTTTAAGAAAAATATTAATTATCTTAAATGATTGGTTTACGTTGGATCTCATAGTTACCACAAACTAATTAGTTCTCATTTGATTAGACTCCTATGTATATGTATATATGTGTGTGTATATATATATGTATATATTAGTTTTGTACCCGCTGCAATGTAGCTAAATATAAACTTTCTTGTAAATAAAAATTAGTTAATTATTTGTAAAATGTTATACCCTTTAAATTATGACGTTGTTTGCAAATAAACTGATATTTTGATAACTAAATGAGAAATATAAAGGTTGAAACTTATAAAAATCATCCACTAAATAGGGTTTTTTTTTTGAATAAATAGTTCATCTTTAAATCTCAAAAGAATTTAAGAACTTTGTTTTGACAACTTCAATCTCTATCTCATCTTTGAAAGATCAAGGTATTTGAAAATATTAAAAATATCATAGTATTATACTTTTCACAATAAGAAAAAACTATAAGACGAACTTATTGAAATAGAACTATGTAAAAAGACATGATGTATTGAATATTGAAATTACTCTATGAGTTTAAGCAATTTATTGCATCTACAAAATGCCGGATTAGCCTCTTTAACATACATCGTCTTTAAAACATAAAATAACTGATGAGTGAGTATTAAGCGTAGATAGTGCGATTTTATAATGTCATACTGGCAAAAATGCATGATGTTGAACCTATTAAAATCATTTCTCTATACTTTTTCATAATAACCTCTCGTTTGTTCTAGACAATCTACAAATAATAAAAAATTCAACCTTCAAGAGTTTTCCTGTTTGGGACTTCATTGGTGTCAGTTTTGATGTCTATAAAGTTTATTGGCTTCTCACCATATCATTAGAATCAACAAGAGCCTGTCAGAAATAATATTGTTTCTGGAATATGTTACAATCAAATGTAAAATTTTGTTGTAACTAGAAACAAAAGATATGTTCTTACTTGGATGTTAACCAGTAAAAATATTTTAAAGGAAAAAGTTGCAAGATTATCAATGAGAAAAATATGTGCATCAAAATTATCTCGATAGCTACATTTGATACCAGTAATTTAGGTATAAAGACATACTACAAATGATAATTGTTTATTGATTATAAAAATCAATTATATATTATAATAATTGTGTTTTAATAACAAAAAAATATAGTAATAAAAATATATTATTTTATTTTTATTATTATGATTATATTATAATAATATTAAAGGTGTTTTTTAGTATTTTTTTTAATGTGTGGTTTGAATTGATATATGACTAAAGTACAATTAAAAAAATGAGTTTTTATCCAAGAACGATAACAAGAAGGATGATGTAAAATGATATAGAAAAGATGGAACCTTCCATCTTCAAACCAAAATTTTGACACCAAGAACAGAAATTAAGTTATCCAGAGACATAAATCTAGACTAATTATCATTTTATTTTTAGTCTTTTGTCTAGCAGCGTTGTGTCGATCTTTTGTAACTTAACTTGGTATGAGGTGGGTTAGAACTTAAGTTAATTTTTGGTTGATTCAAAGACTTCCGCTGTAAACGGTTTAAACGGTTTTATTTTAGCCGTCTTTTGGAGTATTTATTTAGGAATTTGTTTCAGATTACGTAACATTCTCAAAAATAAAAATAAAAAATGAGGGTGTTACAAGTTGGTATCAAAGCTTTAGTTTAAGGTAATTAGGTTAAGATTTACTTAGCCTAAGCTTAAACTGAGAGGAATGTTAGAAGCTTTAGTTTAAGGTAATTAGGTTAAGATTTACTTAGCCTAAGCTTAAACTGAGAGGATTGTTAGAAGCACATGTTATTGTGCATTAGTTTGATCCTACATTATTACTTGACATAGTGTTCCTTTTATGACTTGTAGGAGACATGGTTCACACCATTCACACTAGGTCTATCAGACGCGGACGTGGACGCATATACGGAACACGTAGGACACCTTACGGGCTAGGACCGAATAGAGGATCTATTGACAGTCACCGCTCCAGCGCCAGACATGTTTTCGGCACCCGGTCCAGAAGCGATAGTCTGGCCCACACTAGTGAAGTGTCATCACGAGAGCACATCAGGCGAAGGACCACACCCGAGCCTTCGGAGGACTACACGCCCCGCACCCCTACACGTGAGGACATGATGGAGACTATAGAGACCTTGTGGGGCGAGAACATAAAGCTAAGAGAGAGGTTGACCCGAACTTTAGATGAGAACACTAGACTGAATGAATGGCTGAACAATCTTCAGCAGGCACATGTCGAACAAGAAGGAGCCCTAAACGAGCTAATTGTAGAGAATGCAAATTTGTCGGAACARCGTCATGCACTGATTTGGGATAAAGTTGTACTTGAGCAGGAGCGAAGAATTGCTGCTCGCCCCGTAGGCGCTAGATTTAGAGACATAGTTCACTTCTATAAGAAAATGACCATAGACTATGCTGGTGTAGTGAGGGGCTATTTCTCCGACTGGGTCCAATGCATCAAAAATGGCCCAAAGGCTAGTGTGTTATGGCATTCCAGGCCATCCACATCTTTTGAGGAGTGGTTGAGGGACCCTTATCTCCCTTATTACCCCACATATCAGTTTTAGACATAGAATTCTTTTGAGAGAGGGGAGAGAGAAAGATCTTTTGGGTATGTGATTTAATTGTGTGTGTCTAGATAGTTGATCGAATTTTCATCTAGTCCAGTGCTTCAATAGATTTTTTTGAGCATTCACATGATTTAGAGATGTGTTTAGAATTATGAAGTATCCCATCTTTTGTAAGTAAATGAGATTATGTAATGTCTCTCTCTCCATGATTGTTTATTGACTCGAAATATATATAACTTACTGAGCATTTTGAAATTTTCGACGTGAATTCCTTATTATGTATTTCGCTTATATATAGTGATTATATTATAAAAAAATGTAATGTGTTATGTTTGACTTTAGAATCATGTTAAAACGATAATACCCTATTATGTCAGTATGGTTTCTCGTGGATCAACAAGGAACGCCCTCAATGGGGGAGGTACTAATGGCATAGCCCCACCAACAGTTCGAGGTCGGACACGAGCCCAAAGTCGAGGTCGAGGAAGTGTTCGAACCGCTAGTTCTAGTACGACTCCATCCGCGCAAGCTAATTTAGCTATCGGTAGGAGTCAAGGAGACCGGGGAGAGGAAAATCTCCTCACAAAGGAAATGATAGCTGAGCAAATGGCACAAGTCCTCCGGGATACATTGCCAAATATGCTTAAAGCAATGTTGGGTGACARATTTAAAGACAATGAAGATGGAGAGGAGGAAAGTGTTCGACATGAGAACACTYAAGCCAYTGAAAAGGTGGAAGTATCTGTTAAAGAGAAGGTGGAGTCGCCCACCAACGAGAGGACTGAATTGACAATAAAGGAGAAAGGATGCAGTTTTAAAACATTCAAAGGCACCGGGCCGAAAGAATTTAAGGGAATAGAGGGCCCAGTGGGCCTGATGAACTGGGTAACCAAGATGCAGAGTAGCTTCAAAATTTGTAGATGTGCAGAAGATCAAAAAGTGACCTATGCTGCTACAACCTTTGTGGACTATGCATTGCATTGGTGGGAGTCTGAGTGTGCAATCAGAGGTGACGAGGATATTGCTGCCATGACCTGGGAGCAAATGAAAAAGATGATGATGGATAAGTACTGCACACAATCGGAGGTGAACAAGCTAGAATCAGAATTTCTGAGATTAAAGCAAGGTTC